ATTACATATTTATAATTTCGTGTTGGTCTACCTAGGCCTGATCTGCCTTGGTGGATTAGCTTATTTAAGTTCCCAACCTGTTGCACTTTGTCTGCCTTGGATCACTACATGACCTGCATAGGGCCCTGAAGGATGACCAAGTTATTCTAGTGCCAAATGAGCCCTGTGGTGACCTTGTCCACATAGCAAGCAGAAGGACTTTACCTTGTGCTTGTTGGTCACTTCTTGTCGCTCAAGTGACATGTCGTCCTGTGAGCTGAGATACACCATCATGTTTCTGAGCAGAGTATGAGCAGATTCTTCCACCCTTCATGAAAGGGAACACACTGAGATACAAAATGACCTGTGCTGTGCTAGGGATACTGTGGAAGTACAAGAATGATACCTAGGTTGCACGACTATTTTTTTTTCCAGCTCTCCAGCCAGCAGGTTTCCTCTGGCAAAATATTTTTGTGAAGACCTAGGGTGAAGCGAGTCATTTGGATGGAAAATTTCAGCTGGTGTTTGACAGTCACAAGCATCTGTAAACATATTTTATACCAGGAAATGTCAGGCCCCTTTACAATAGTCAGCCCCACTGGCTCTGCATTTAATTTAAGCAGAACAAACACACGTGTCAATGACCTGAGTCTTGTCCCACCCCTCTGAAATAGGTAACACACTTCAAAGGCAGAAAACACCCTTAGACTGCTGCAGCACAGAGAGCACAAGAGCACAACCTTTTTCCCAGGGGGACACTCAGAACTTCCACAGGAGAAGTTGTTAAAGAGCAAAGGCTCTTCTATATAAACGAAACACATTCCCCTTGCTGAAGGCTTGCTGGTGGAAGAACCAGCCCACTTTTTAACCCCGCTGCGTCCTCACCTGCGACACGGGGCAGTGCTGCAGCCTTCCCCGCCGAGGTGCCCGCCTCGGGGGGCGGCTCCAGCGCTGACAGAGCGTGATCCCCACGAGCAAGTGTGTCGCGCCCACACACCCCCCGTGCAGCAGCCTCCAGTTACATCTCTGGCAGCGCACCACAATTCTCGGCTTCGCCTTCCAGGGGTATTTTTGGCCGGGGCTGCCGCTCGCTCGTGGCAGAGGCCTGGGCAGCGGCGGGGGGGGGGGCCGG